TTAAAGATGGAAGCACAATACCTCTTTTCCTTTAAGTAATCAAGATACTCTCTCACAGGTCATTAACATTTTCACCTGTTAGTTGCAGGTGAATTTGCCTTATTACATTATAGCATACATAGAAAAACTCCAGCACTTCACCATGAAACCCCCGTTTTGGAAATGCTCCTTTTAATTATAGAGCAACTTCAATATTCTTTTTCCTGGATAGCTATACAGACCCCAACTGACTACTAAGGTAATGTGTTTCATGAATATAAAGCTGTTGTCAAGTCAAACATTATGACCTGAGACAAGTGTCTTCATTTCCTGTATTTTCTTCCCCTCTTTCCCCCTAACACATACATCTAGATTTTTCAAGTGGTCATCTGGGGGGAAAACTTAATTAAATGAATTGAAATTCATTTAAGCATTTAAAACAAATCAAAAATCCAATTCATGCTTGATTAGGCAACTGTTTTTTTGGCTCAATGCCAACATGAAAGAACTCTGCAAGGTTCTTAGAATTATACTGCCGTTTTTGTGCAATTATTGCTCTGCTTATTATCCCTAAACAATTGCTTAATTTCAGTCAAGAAAACAGTTACCTTGTAATACTGCATGGTATTTAATAGGTTCCATTAGCAGAAAATAGTATAGAAATACAAAGCATCTTGATTTTTTTTATATGATACACATGCTTATGTACATGATTACATACATACAACCCAGGATCTCCTGAAAGTCTCTTTCTCATATTTCCATATACATATCCTCTTCATGGCTTTGTCCAGTTACTCTGTGTTTGTGGTTACTAGAAGTCATCTTGTTTTTAAAAGTATTCCTCTCATCTAGAAATACTGAGATGATTTACAAATAGTTTATATTGAATCCTGCAAAGCTCAGATCTATTTACATTTTTATAGAGTTGAAAAGGGGTGTCGGTGGGACAAAATGGGTAAGGTTACAGCTTGAGTCAGTAGCATCATTACCAAAAGCAGCACAAAATTGTTCCAGGCCTCTGTGGATACACAGACAACCCACTGAGGTTGAGGAAGAGATTCCCCATCTGTCAATAAGACCTGCAACAGTTGTTGGATGTGCTACCATAAATGTACCACCTATTTTGTTTGCACTGGAGAAATTACATGCAAAAGTGAGCCTAACAGCTGTTAAGGAGTTAGAAGCAAAGAGTAAATGGGGAATTGTTAGGGCTTTCTATCAAGGATACAAAAATCTAGAGAAAAGACAATTCAGAATCATCACCACAGCAACTAGGTCCTTGGATAAAAAGAAAACACCCACTAAGAATATGAAATTCCATCACTTCAGATATTAACTGCATGCCTGGTCTCAGTCAACCAAAAGACTGTAAGTTGCTTTGCAACCAGCACAATTAGTGAAGCCTAACTTCTTAAAAAGAAAAGTCTTTCACACTTTTAATATCTCCACAGTACTCCCTTTCATACACTCAGGGTTCCCTTTCCTCACAACTCCAAACACCCATTCCCATCCTCTGGCTGGGTAACTAGCAATTAGCTCATATTTTAAGAGCTGACTAGCCAGCAGACTACTACCTACAGAGACAGAGCTGAGCTGTGATCATCTTTTCCTGAGTGAGACAAGAACTAGGTTTTGTCTCCTCTACTGAGCTCCCAATTTTCGTGACACGTATAGGGCCTTTGTAGCTTCAAGGTCACTGCCTGTTTCAAATCTGAATCCAACGGAATTACAAAAAAGCATGAAAATTGACGGAAACAAATGCCCAGACAACACGGTTACTACATGAGCCTTGTTTACACAGAAAACCAGGATATAAATAATAATGTTAACAACTACAGCCAGAATAAATGAGCCTTACACTCTAATATTATTACACTGTAATATTCAACACAGAAATTATGAGGAAGCCTCCAGGCACAAAAGTTCTTCACTCGAAAAGCCTTGGTATCAACTCCAAGAGCTCTGCATGAAAAGCTCATGGACTGAGCTTCCCCACAGGGAAAAAACAATTGTTATGGTGCAGCAAGAGCTCCTCCAGGGAAGAGGAGCTGGGATTGACAGCAAGACAGGCAGGACAGTGGCCTCACAAACAAGGTTTGTAGTCTCACAGTATCTGAGCAAGAAGGACAGAGCAGGTCCAGTGACAGTAACCTGGGTCAACTGCAGTCCAGTGAGCATCAGTCAGGTCTGCAGCAGTGGGGCAGGTCTGAGGCCAAGTCAGTGGGATCAGGGTAAATCAGGTGGCAAAGGTTTGACCTCCAATGCCACTCCCAAGGAAAGGAGGGAAGCTTCTCCGAAGGCTTCTCCCAGCTCTCCCTCACCACCTGGCTCTTTCCCAGCCCTCTGACCCAAAGTCACACAGCTACACAATGTGAGAGGTGGCCTAAAGCATAGGCAGCCCAACATTACATGCCCTAAACATTACATGCTATTGTTTTCCTTACTGAAGACTCTGCTTCTGCATTACTGGTTCAAACCATGCAAGTTTGACAGAAGATTAATTAGCTGTTGAATGTTTCGTCCTTATAAATTACAACTGAGTGTTTTAGTCTGGCTAACAACAAGCATAAGCCAAATCATCATCACACTAATCAAAACTCTTGGTTTGGATTTTTGGAATTAGTAAGTACTGAAAGAAACAAAAACTGTCGCATCCAGACGCTGCTTTCCACGTCAAGGTTCCAAGGTTTTTTATACCTATCTCAATTTCATCTCCTAGCATTTTTTTAATGTAAAAACATTTAAATCATTTTCATGGGCATTACTTCTGAGCACTTCATAGCACAAAATGATTACAAAACACAAAAAGAACGATTAATGCTTCTTTTTAGCAGCTGGCAGACTGCTATGTTCATGGAGGAAAGCATTCAGAAAGTAAAGCACTATAGAAAAAGAATATTTAAGTATCATGCCCCTATCATATGCTTTTCCAGTATTTTTGAGTGATGATGAATCCAATAATCAATTTTATGTATTAAACAGTTAGTAATCAACTTGAATATAAGTCTATGGCACCCTCTTGTGGTCGACAATAATAAAGCAGTTTACTAGATTCTGAATACTTCTAAATTCAGTGTGTTATCCAGGAAAAAAGCTATTGAAAACAACTTCATCGATTAGACTTGTATCATAAACAAGCCTTAAGGAAGAGCAGTACTAAGTTTTCTGATTTATCTAGAAATTCTGAGTAGTTTTTGAGGGGCTAGTAATCTGATTGACCTACCTCTATTGTTAAGATCACAGATACACAACATTATCTCAGAAAAAATGTAATTCCAGATAGAGCTGGATAAACAACCCAGTTGGTATGTGGTACACATAACCTCTACTCTATAATGATGTAGCACTTTGCAAGAATCTATTGGACACAAGTATTAAACCAAATTACAAAAAAGATTGAAAATGGAAAAGTATAAGACACAAAGAAGTCAATGAGCAAGATTAGTAGACAAAGAAAAGACATGACTGTGTAGTTAAGAGTGCTGGACTGAGATTATCCCGATTATAGATTTCCCAGCTAACAAACATCCTATGACTTAGCGAGTTGCCTAAGTTTGCCCTATGCCTCAGATTCTTGCCTATCAATGGAGACAACGAACTTCCCAGCTATGGGGAGTGACTTCATCACTATTTAGAAGATGCTCAGCTACGTCAAGCACGCCATGGTAGAGGATGTGCATAATCAGAAGCCAGAAGACTGATTCATTGTTTACAGCTATATTAATTTCTTCTAATTGGCCTTTTCACTTCTATGCCACACAGTATTACTTCTGGATATTAGGAAAAAAGGGAAGATGCTCAAAAATGAATTCCTGAATGAGCCTAACAGTGACAAAGGTAAGCCCAGGGAGAAGAAAGGAAGGAGAGGAAAAGCACAGTGAAAACCTGATGACTTTCATGAGCTAATGATGTTAACATCTGCTTTGAACTTCTCACAATATTGCTATGGGAGAAAAACAGGTAGACGTTTAGTGTGATTGATACCGCATGTTCCACTCATACATATGAAAATCTTTTTATGCAAATATTCAACAAGATGCGTAACTAACAACTTCAGATAAGACTTCTTTGATTAACCTTGTACATGTAGCTAGTCATCTGTAGCATTCTGTTGAAAGTCACTTTCCAAAAGAAACATCTGGCTGAGGTCGTCTCACATTTCAAAGGTAAAGTAGTAAGATTTGAATTATCTAAAATTGTTCTGATAAAATCCAGTAATATTGCAAAGATGAATTGTTTGAAAAAAACAAAAAGAACCCAAAAAACCTCCTCCTCAGAAAATATTAGGGAATTTGTTCAAATAGAACACCGAATACTACAGAGCTACCACACAGAAGCAAAAAAAAAAAAAAAAGGCAGCCTTATTTTGTACCTGACTCTTGATTAAATGAAGAGATTCTTTTTAAAGGTGTGAATTTATTTTTGCGCAAGATGGTGATCTGCTTTAATTAGCTGCTGAAAGAGATATTTGAGAATAATATCTGAGGTTTAGACTTACATGAAACATATATATAAGCTATGATTCTACCTTGTACAAATGTTTATATGTGTGTATGTATGTATGTATGTATTAAAAATACGTATGTATAAACAGACAAAACACACAAAAGAGCAGCTTTAAGTGAGGTCAGATTTGACAATAGGAAAATATTTGCAGAAAGGTAATTGATGCAGTCATTTATAGACGTAAAAGCCCTGGCTGGAAGTTATGATCAAATAGGACCTCTTTATCTTCATTTTCAAGAACTCCGATGTTATTATTTTATGTTCCATTTCAAAGTATTAGATGCAGAAAAGAAAGTGAAGTACAAAGATGTTTATTTCAACCAACAAGGAAAAGCCAGGTACAGTAAGGTAGTTTCATCATGTACTCTAGCAAGCATGAAAGGCTCTAGACTCTTTGTAGCAAAGACTCTTTGCTACAACAAAGCAAAAACTCTGAAGAGAGTATGCAGTTATGAAAGAGTGAGGGAGGGAAGAAATATTCCTGACTGTGCATTAAATAACACCCAACAACATTTGTCATAAAGATATTTTTATTTTTAACAAAAGTCCACCATCATTAGTCTCACATCAAAAGTTATGGAGTGACATCCAATGCATACAGGTTTCCCCATGGAAAGGATGCAGTCAATACTATAAGATCACTTGCGTTTCTACAATTGTTATACCTTTATAAAAATATTCCCCGATTTCATATTTAATTTCAGTGTTATCTATTCAACAAAAAACTGTTTCCACATTGCAAACTTATTTGTTCCTAAACGACTTTCCAAGTAATTGCACAGGATGTGTTTAATATACTAACAAGTACTTTTTATCCCCCCTTTGCAGGGAAGGAAAATTTAATAAATTACTTTAAAAATATTTTTAAAAAAGTCTTTCCAGCATTTCAGATAAGCAGTAATATAAAAGTAATATAATGATGATACTAAGAAGTAGGGATTTGATCTGACCAATTCCACTGTTCTATATACGGATCTGCCACTAAGGGGTCCAAATTCTCACATTCTTTACTGTTAGCTAGGTAATATTTGCTCATGGTGAAATCAGCTTAATCTGTCATAATCACTTCAGGATATTTGTGAACTTAGCAGTTGGGAGATGAGAGAAGTTATAAGATGTTAATTTATTTCTCATGGTTGTGTGTGTTTGTGGCTTATTTTAAGAAGCAGAGAATTAAGTTCATCCACACCATTCATTTTCATTCTCTGTAAGTGATGAAACATCTGTATCATATTTCATTAGCTATTTTCTCACTTCTGGGTTACCCAAAAATGCTGTATATGCTTCCAAAGGAAAAAAAAAAAATCCATTCAGTTCTATTGCTGGAGGTAGAGCAAGCTGTTACACTGTCATTTAATCAGATTAACAAAGCAGAATCCACATCAGAAAATAATTTCTTTTTACAGCAGTCTCACTGAATTCACAAGTCAATACTCTTCTTGTACAGAGACACTTTCACTAATAATACCTACTGCTTTTAAAGAATTAGGGCATATGACCACTGCCAGCCAAAGATTTACCAAGGACTTATTATGAGCCCAAGATATACATGTAGTTTGCATTAAAAAAATCATGTTCTATCGCACATTCAATGCAGGTAGCAAAATAAAAAATTGGCTCAAACTATGAGCGTATTAAGATGCAAAGAAAATTCTTACAGAACGTGGGAACTCAGCAGATCATTTTCCACTGTAATACAAGCGACCCTTTCCATTCCATGGTCAGGGCTGAGCCATCCCATAGTATTCAGTTGACTACAGTTTACTCTGCCACAAACAAATATCTAAAGTAAACTGATATTAAGGAAAAAACTGAGTGCACCTACAAAAAGATATGAATTAACTAAGGCACGGAAAAGTACAAAACTGGAATAATCCTTTAGCTTCTCTAGTAAACGCAGGCTTTCTGAATGCAGACTGTCAACAGGTAGATTATAGCTTTCTATAATCATATCCAGTGAGTAAAAAAGTTGTGGCTTGTGCATAAAGGTTTCTGAGTGTGACATGATTCAAAGCTGTGCTGGTCAGTGAAAATCAGCATTTGCTTCAGAAGGGTTACTCAAGCTCATTAATAATGCAGGGTGTCTGGGTATTTTGCATTATTAATTCAGCTCTACAATACATAGAAAAGATAAATCTTTCATGAAACAGCCAGCCAAAGCAATTCATTTGTATATCAGCATCACCCAGGATCTTCCTCTACCTACAAGGAGTAAGAATAAGAATGAAATTGGAAGTGTCAGCGTTGACTGAGCTAAAATGCATTTGAAATATTTGAAGACTTAATTTTATGTAGACAATAGAATAGAATTTCTCTACGCTTCAATATCATGCTGAAAGGTTCAAGAGCAGTTTTAAACTTGTTTGAAAGTTTTAAATAATTCTGCAGTAACCATCCTATTGATGGAATACCATAAATGCTGAATATTCTCCCTATTTTTAACTAATAGGCCAAAATATAGTCTATCTTGCAATTAATCCAAATGCAGGACAGTGACTGTACTCACTCTGGAAAAGTCTCTTCTCTCAAGAAACTGTATTTAAGCTGAGGTACAAGTACAAATTTTCAATTTTGGTACACCTAGCAAAGCTTACTATACTTGTTACTGTAACTAGGTGTGTCCCCTATTCAAACGTATCTCAAGATTTCAGATACTATATCCCTTACTTAGGGAGAAGATATAAAAGAGTATAAAAAGCAGATGATATATACTGTTAATAATAATGTCTCTGTGGAAAAAGTTTTAAAGGCTCCAACTGTGACAAAAGCTAAGCATGCAACAAACTAAGTACTTACTATTAAGGCTTGACACTGTAATATTCTTCTGGTGTCACAATTTTCAATCCACCAAAGTAGTCCAGGACCCAAATATTCGTGATGTTGAATTTGGCAAAGAACCAGTTGTGATCCTTAGGCCAGCTTTCCATCTCAGGGTGGCGACTGAATAATGCTTTTTTTGCTAAGCCTGTTTCTGAATCATTCACCTGAACAGTAACCAGCAAAAGACTGCATTAAGATACGGTTGTGCAAAGAGAAATTTTAGCTGAAAACACACTGCTGATTGCAATATGCTCTTTTCCATTTTGCTATGTCCTATCTCAAAGGGTTCATTACTATGGCAGAGTCTACTTACCTTCAGAGAGGGCTACAACTATACATGAGACAGGCCAACATTCCAAAATAGTTGCTTTTAATATCAAAATCAAAAGGATGCACTTTAAAGTAAGCATGAGCAAGAAAGTACTTCGTCAACAAGTCTTTCTTCTGCTACCTATTTGGATGGAGATACATGCAGAGTGATAGATTTAGAAGTAATATTAATTCTGTTCTAGTATAAAGACTAGATCCAACCTGCCCCTGGCTTGTCTGAAATACCATGGATAAAACCATACCCTATTCTGCTGAAGAAAATTATTTATTTTACTGAAGACAATTATGCAAGTCCACAGAACACATATTAGAAAGGATCTTAAAAAGGATACTTATTAGGTCTTGCTAGAGAGACAATGCATCTCTTTTTGTCTCTCTTGCTAAAGCGACAAACTCAGTCCAAAGACTGAGGAGCAAAGCTTTGTTTTTAATTACTAAAAAAAATACATAACATGATTTTGGCATAAATAAGGTATCAGATTTTACTGTTTGATGGAAAAGCAAACAGTGATGCCAGCTATCCATTTATGGGGACTGAAACCTTCCTGTGGAATTGTTTCTTCAAAGCTTTTTTTGAATTCAAGCTTTTTGTAAGCTGTGATTTGGGAAGCTATTCTTGGAGATAAATTTTCTTCCCCCGTTCTCTCCATATCTTTCACGACTAAACTGTGTACAGCTCAACTAGTGAAGCAAGAAAGGGGAAGAAAATAAGGCCTTGATGTAAGTGCTTAGGCAGGAATGGTATTCAAGTAAAAATAAAAACTCAGGAACAGCTGAAAGCCAAGACTAGAAGGAGTTTTGCTCTCTGTCCTAATATTGGTAGGGATATAATGGCAACATATATATTTGGCAACCTAAGTAAGATTCTGCAACTCAGTAAGCAGCAAAAAGGTACTGCATGATTTTGGGTGGTATTTGAAATACCAAATCTCAAAAGAGAAGTAGCGGATCCCTGCTACATGCTTACAATGCAGTGTTTGAGGTATAATTTTACCTCCTCTGCACCTGCTCATTCAAAAAGATACAAAAAAATCAAAGGGTCTTCAGATGCATATACATACACATACAGAGTATGGAAGAGCTGAGAATCCATAGAGAATGGCAGCTAAAATGTGTGGCAGCACTTAAATAGCCAACGTGCAAATGTCTGAAGGGTTAAATCAACAAGTTTGAGTTCTGGATATGATACAAGAAAAACTAATTACCATCAGTAATGGGACTGTTTATTTTAAACACATGACAGTAATTAAAGGTTTGCTAGAACGTAATATACAAATATTTGACGTGTGAAAACAACAAATAAGAATTAGGGCCATCACGCAAGAGAGACTAATGATGAATAGTTGTAATCCTCAGTCATCATTCTCAATAATGGGATTAAGATCTCCGATAAATAATACAGCAGTTCTAAATGCTGTTCTAAATGCTTTCTATGGGACAAAGTGAATTTGAAACGTTAGCGCAGGAAACGACACTGCGCTGGCAGCACTACTGCCAGGTAATGCAATACACCTTTTCTGTCTTTAATACGTGTAATGGTATAGCTCAGATGAATAGTTACTTCAATAAAGTGTTGGGAGCACAATCGCCAAACTGGATGGACCAAAGAACTTAAGTGAGCAAAGAAGATAAGAAAACCTCCATAATAGTTCACTCCCAGAGAACTGTCTTGAATATTTTAGTTTCTAAATAGGTCTAGAGGAATTAGGGAGACTTCCCTCATTGCAATATCCTCCTGCCAAGTGCCTTGCTAAAGACACTTCAGCAGAACCCCAGCAAATAGCATGTGGTTACTTCATTTTCCTCACACAAACTATGAGCTAGCTTTCTGATATCATGACACATAGAATCTCTTCATACACTTCTGTATAAATATTCTAACATTTCTGTTCTTCTTTCAGTTAACGATACTATTCAGCACATGTAATCTTGTTCTGTGTCAGCTTTCATCTGCTTACCTTTACAACGTTCCCACAGAAGATTATGTGGGCACAGAGAGGATTCTGGGGATCGTATTTATGCTTCTTGCAGTAAGGAGTCTGTGCCAAAGACACAGTTAAGGAGGCATTCGAATTGATCTGAAATACAAATAGTAAGATAAATAGGCTGATGTACCTTTGCAAGAAAAAAAAGTGATATCCACCATGATGTTTTCAGCTTTTGGTACTTTATTCAGTTCAGAACTACCTGTAAAAAGAACAGAGCTGTCATCTTTTTTTTGCTAATTATATCTGAAAGCCTGCTCAGATGAGCTCTGTATCTGAAAGAAGGCACAGTTTATAAGTGTGTTAAAGTTTGATAGGATAAAGCGCAAACCTCGCTCAAAGCCAGCACTCTTTAAAACTCTGAATTCAATATACCACCTAGCTATTTCACATTCACATTATGATATATTCCAATTAACATACAGGGCTATAGAGAAGAAGACACAGTGGAAGGACAAAGGATTACTGAAAGGTAACCAACTAGCTGTCACAACTGTGAATGGAAGTAATAAAAGAAACAAAAAAACCCAAGCCCTCCCTCCACCCCAACTGGTCAACTCTTTTGACATTCAAAGTGAGTTTTAAAAACTAGATTTAAAAAACCCTCAGTATTTAAGTAAGGGACTAAACTTGAAGAAGAGAGATTCCGTATCTATGTGATCATTCTAAAATTAATTTGGAGACCACAAAAAGCTTGAAAAGTATCTCTCCAAAACCAGGCTTGCCTACTGCAGAATGGCACATGCTTAAGTTCATTCTTCTCCCAACAGAGAAAGTTCATGAGCTTTGGGAAATTCCATTAAAAGAGCTCATCTCAAAAGTCATGTAAGCACTCTGCAAGTGTACCACTGAACTTAGAAGCAAGAGCTACCCCATGACTCACGGCACAAACAGGAAGTTGCTTAACTACAGAAAAGCTGATTCATGATTATTCAGCATTATCTCATATCAGGAGTCTCCCTCCACATGCCTGTTTCTGCCCTCAACAGATTTGTATTCTGCTGTTGTAGGAGCTTTCTGTGGGAAAATGTTTATTAAGAGTTTATAGCATTATTTTTATATCTGAAAACAGAGGGCAGTATGTGGAGTGGAGGAAGAGATATTACACAAGATAAATTAGGTTTTCTACACCACTTTGATCCATAAATAACATTTTAACGTAACAAATTAAAAGCTGAGTGGGAGAGGAAACAGAGGTTTATATTGAAATTGAGACTGAAAAAGTTTCTATTACTTATGTTTGGTGCATATGTGTTTTAATAATACTGTAGTAGTTACTAGAAGTTTATCTTTAATAAAGGATGCATTCAATCAGAGTCTCCTTAACATTTTAGTCAATTCTCTCTTGACCACAGTCAAGCAAAAGAGCTGAGGCAAGGACCAATTATGCATACTGAGAACATCAGTGTGCCAGTCTTTTGTTGTGCACCTGCTTTACTGGTAATCTCAGGCATTTAATTACTGTTTCTTCAGTAGTCTGTATGAGAGTCCTCTTCGCTCAACCCCTACACTACCAATTTACAGTCCCCTAATCCTTTATTTCTTGTATTAAGTACTCCTCTCTGCTTTCTCTGCCTAAAGATTCTTTGGCCCCTCATTCCTCTGTTCAATGCTCCTTCTGAAACTCCAGCTACTTTGTCTACCGGAGCCCTACTCAGGAGATCAGCACTTTCTGGACTAGCAGGACTAGTCGTCCCAAGACTACTGTGGGTCAAAACAGACAGCATCACTGAATATTTAGCTGTTCAAGGATTAATAATTGTCCTCAGGGTTCACAAATAAAGTGACATTCATGGAATGGGTCGTTAGCACCATTATGTTGCCTGCATAAAATGCTGACGAAAACCCTGACCTTTACAAAAGTATTCCAACCGTAACTTCCTCCTGAGACGAAAAAGCATAAGTGACCAAGAAAGATATGACATTGCATTAAGCAACTTTCAACCTGGTAAGTTTTAAGTTTCCTTACTATTATTTCCAGTCGGTAATATACCATTTTCAGGTTAGATTTTGCAAAGACAGGACACAGACTGTTAAATACAGGTGCATCTCACCATGGGCAGATCAGCAGTTACTATAATTCTACTTTCAAATATAATGCTAAGAAAAAGCTGAAAAAGCTTTCTTCGTTATTCAGAAGACGCTGAAGGGTAGGCACTGGGAGGGCGCGGGTCCGGAGTGCACACAGGACCTGGATACACTGGAGTCTTCTCCCCACCTCAAGTGTCAGAGCTACAGGTACTGCCCAGTGGTGTCCGCAAACGTGGCAGCCGCTCAAAAACGGGAAAGGAGAAATCCCAAAACGCAGCGCTCGCATGGTGTCTCTCACCCAATAGAAGGTATCGGAGCTAGCGCAGATGGCACCGTCCCTGCCTACCCACCAAGCACGCCTCCTTACCTGGCTTCGGGACTAAACTTCTCCCGCATATGGCCGCTGACGCACGCATCGCCGGTCCCCCCCCTCCCCCCTTCCTGTGCCAGCTGAGGGGGCAAAACCCCTCCGAGGCGGCCCTGGCCCCGCTCGGGCGGCGCCCGCTCACCTCCAGGTCCTGCACGGAGATCTCCAAGTCGGTGAGGTAGAGGTAGGGGACGCCGCTGCCACCGTGCGGCCCGGGGGGGCCGTCGCTGAGGGAGAAGATGTTGGCGAAGGGGCGGCCGCGCAGCCCCTCCTGCGCGGAGAGGGTGGCCAGCGCGCCCCAGT